TCCGAAAATCATACTATTTTTAGATTTCTTAATTTTACAGTCGAACCTCTATTAAGCGGTCACCCTCGGGAAAAACCAAGTGATCGCTTAATAGAGGTTGACCGCTTAATAGAGGTTGCCTAGAATTTAGCTTTTTACGCGACAAAAAATGTAAAAAATTACGAAACTCATCACGTAATGTAGTTTTAAGGAATATAAACGCTAAATACAAGGTTGATTATTTTAGTTTATAAAATAAATACTGTACACAGTAAGTACAGAAGAATTCGACGCCTGCTCTAGCTAATGCAACAACAGAATTACAATGTAAACTGACGTTTTTCATTTCATGTTTTCGTAATATTTTTCACGTTCCCTCAGCTGATTTTAATCCTTATTACAAGAGGTGACCGTTTAATAAAGGTAAATAACAATGAAAATGCGCAGTTGGGAAAGCCAAAAGGGTGACCGCGTCCGCTTAACAGAGGTGACCGTTTAATAGAGGTCAAGTTTGCAGTAAATGTTAGAGTCAAATTTCGGGAAGTAATAGGTGACCGCCCAATAGAGGGTGACCGGTTAATAGAGGGTGACCGCTTAATAGAGGGTGACCGCTTAATAGAGGTTCGACTGTATCTCAATTGTGAAATATTAAGCAAAATATAACTATTACGTCATGAAATGGCGTTACAATTAATTTATTGCTATAGTAACCAATTTTGCTCTCAAAGCGAAAGTGTGTTTCAAATGTACACTAATTTCTAATTCACTTAAAGTCAGGCCCCTGTATAGCTGTTAACATTCATCAAAAGGTAACAGTTTTGCTAATCCGTTGACATAACGATGGATCGTTTAAGAAAGTTCTTCAGAAGGCTGGTTCGACGTCGAAATGAAAGAGAAAGCGAACCAGAGGAAAAAGGACGCAGCTTTGAAAATCCTCATCGATCAGCGTCCCCATGGAAAGTCATTCCAATACACTCAAAGTTCACTCCTGGTCTTGGACGGAGGATCCCCGAACTGGTTGAAGCTGGTGCAGGTTTGTTTGAAATGCACTACAAAKCCAACCGTCCTGAACGACGAATACAGTTGGCGTATTCACCGAATTATGTCCCAGTTTACACCTAAACAAATTCATACTGGCACATACTAGTAAAACTTTCAAATGTGTTCTGTGAAGAAAGAAACAAGATGGAAATATCAATTGACATTTTCTTCCATAAACAGTTTAGAATAAAATTCCAGATCAAAACGTCATTGAAAGAATGGGTCAGAGCATAGTAAATGGCCAGAGATGCTGTCGCCAACTCTACCAAAGACAATGGCCACTGTAAGCAAAAAACACGARTCCTGATGATAATAACGYTTCATACTTTGGACAATCGATTATATCAAAAGGAACGCAACTTTGACTCTATGAAAATGATTGATTTTCAAATTAAAATTTAATAGTTAATAGATAGGTTCACCTGTTGTCAGTTGAAATTAGCTCTTTTCTCCTGATCACGACCGCCTCGTGTCTGGCTATAGCAGCACCGTTTAAATGGTACATTTTTCCTGGTATAAATGTCAGAATTCAATTCATTTTTCAATTTTAGTATTTCATTTGTGAAAAAAAGGTTTTGTTGAAAAATGTTGTTGTATGTTATAGAGCCCAATAAAAAAGGCTTTGAGTTCGATGCGCAATGACGTATACAGGGTAACGATTGCGTTATATGACGTCAAATGACGTCAAACATTTGATTATTTATTTGCTGTAAACARCAATCGCTTTTATCATTAGACCTTGCATCACTTTTGGGGCACAAACAGCATGTAAATTAATTAGTTGTTGAAAAATATGAAATAAACATTGGTGCAGAAAACAATAAACTTCAAGTCTTATTCATCTTATTTATCTTTGTATTTGGCTTTTGAAAAATTCGACTCGGATTTTGAATATCCTCTATAAAGAACAAAAACTACTTCGTGGAACATACCGTGTCCAGGTTATGCTAATATATATTTTTACCAGCGCCGCGATCGATTTGATAGATTTTGCGTATGATTTTTTCACATCATTTTTTTGAATATTTTTATCGTTGCAGCAAAAATTTAGCATTCAGATTGCATTCGCATTATCCTCAGAGAATTTATAAGATGAAAGTTTGCTTTGCATAAATTGATTTTAGAAAGAAAAAAGAAAGAGTATATTTTAAAGTTAAAGAAAGAAAGAAAATTGTTTTTAGAAGCTGCTCGAATCGAGAATCGAACCCGAGATCGTCAGTTCAACACCGCTATTCAAGTATGATCTTGCGTGTAAAATATGGGCGTTGGAGCAGAGCGCCAATCCCCTTCGAGAGAGCCTGATACTCAGGCTACTGAGTGTGTAGATGTTGACCTTGTTTTTATGCATATATGTTTTCCATAATTAAGAATTATGATAATTAATTATAATAATTAATTGGATAGTTAATTAATTTTTCAGTAGTTCTTCTATTAATGCAATGAAAGGATCCATGAGAATCGATTAAAATATATATAATAATAACATGTGTTAAGAAAAATTTTCAAARCTCCTTTATATGTTTTGTGTTATTATGACAACAGAATAAGACAAACAAATATATAGTGTCTCACAGCTTAACACTTTGTTAGATTACATATGGTGTTTCAACAGGGCCTATATTGTATAAATACATCGGAGCATACCGATCCTTTGTTATCTCGAATAAGTCCTCTCCAAACCACAAGCTCAAATTTTATCCCTTTTTTTCTCTGTCACACTGAGGAGACATAATTTTTAGTGCATTTATAAAATATGACTTTTCACTAATCATGGGGTAATCCTCTGGAGGAGATCGTTTTGTTGGTTGAGGTTGCTAGAAAGATTTCTATGATTTCTGCTTTAACCCCTGTGCTAAAACAATAACCGCACGAAGGTACATATTATGTTTGTCCTCACCAAAAGAATGGCGGAGAAATATGAATATGGCTAAGCATGAACAGTGGAGTAGTCTCCTTCGCAGCATCCCCTTTTGTCGGGCTTCCTGTCCTTAGAGGTACAGGAAGCCCGACAAAAGG